TTATGAGGCCTTCGTCATGCGAAGGTCTGGGAATAGATTTATCCACATTTGTCTGAGCCTGGAATAACTCTCGCATTTTATTTCATTTTTATCACTTGATGGCATAGAAGTAACTGATTATTTTTCTCTAAAATTAGAAGCTGATTGCAACCTGGCCAGGTTTTCATTTGGTTTACAATATACTAGAAGATTTTTGGGCATTGAATAATTTTCAGTTTTCCACTGGTATATGGACCGTTGCCTCAAGAACTGAAATTCACGCGTTCATTTTCGTGCGCCTTTTTTTTGTGGCAATTTTCATACATCTTTTTATAAACCAATACGGGGACCATATCGTTGATATTAATTACTGACCATTTTATAATTTTATCTGATCATCTCTATGGTTTTCTTTTCTTTTTTTAACATTTCCAATTCTTTTTCTGATCGCAATTTTACACTTGTCAAAGATGAAAGGTTCCCGGTGATGCCTTTTTAAACCATGCTAATGCTGATATCAGATGATTTATGCTTTTAGTTTATACTGAGGGAACCATTACTCTTTCTTAGCTTTGTTTCTACCGTAAATATGTAGTTGGGTTCTAGTTGTTCATAGTTATTACTTAATGGTTTGAGGCCTGTCATTTTCCGTGTTTCATGAATACATGTGTTTTAATGCAAGTTTACGTGTTTTTTTATTTATTATCTAAATTGAATTACTCTGATTAATGTTACTTGATCAGCTTTATCGCTTCCTGGTCCGGAGAACTGGTAGCAATTTCAATGCTGTGATACTTAAGCGCTTGTTCATGAGCAAGGTTAACAAGCCACCACTTTCTCTTTCAAGGTTGATAAAATTTATGAAGGGAAGGTCAGATATCTATGTCTCATTAACTTTAATAATTTAACTAAATTGCAGTAGTTTTAATTAATTTTGTGTGAATTAATTTGTGTTGAAATTTCTTTGTGTAGGAAGATAAGGTTGCTGTGATTGTGGGTACTGTGACTGATGATATCAGGGTTTATGAAGTACCCGCATTGAAAGTTACAGCACTCAGGTTCACAGAAACAGCACGAGCCAGGATAGAAAAGGCTGGTGGTGAGTGCTTGACGTTTGATCAGCTTGCTCTCAGGGCCCCGCTGGGACAGAACACGGTATGTGGCAATTTCGCTATTTTCTGATTTGTTTGCTTTCTCTAATTTTTTGTGTTAAGCATGTCATTAGTACTGTTTTCATCTGTAATAATGAACATGTGTTTGCTTATTTTTCTTTTCTATGCGTAGAATTTGTTAGATCTCTGTAGGCTGTCACATGGGAATCCAGTAGCATTCAATTTGTTTGGTTCGTTGAGTCCTTTGTGTTATATACAAAACTGCCTAGATTTTGTTGGAAGTGCTGATTTAGTGGATATCTCAATACTCTCTCTTAACAACTACAAATTTCTTGACCAAGGGGATAGTAGTGATTCTATTTGCACAAATCTTGTGTTTATTTGTATTTTAATTTTAATTTACTCACTTATTTCAGAATATCGAACCCTCTTTTTTTAGATGCTATGCACCCCATCCCCCATTACACCAGCTCTCTAGATGTTCGTGTAACTGTATCGTTAGTTGATTGAACAAGTTTGGAAATTTTGATGTTTGTATGCTTTTGGACGGTAAACTTATCGTTAATCTGGGATGCAGGTCCTTCTTAGGGTCCAAAGAATGCTCGTGAAGCTGTGAAGCATTTTGGTCCTGCTCCTGGTGTGCCACATAGCCACACCAAGCCTTATGTGCGATCAAAGGGAAGGAAGTTCGAGAGGGCCAGAGGAAGGAGGAACAGCAAAGGTTTTAGGGTTTGAGTTTATCTTAGTTTATTTTGGATAAGGTGATCCGTGACTCCCAAAGTTCACATTTTTGCAATATCATACGAGCTGATGACAAATTTGACTTTATTTAGTTATGGATGACGTATGAACTTTTTATGCTTTGGTCTCCTAGATTTCTTGTTCAGTGAGCGTATTTTAAAATTTTATTTCCAGTGTTTCTATGGAATTTTTTTTAGATGCCTTGGTGATGAGCTCAATTCTGGATTTGCTTGATGATAAAAGTGGAACGAACGTGGGGAGTGCAATATTTCCTGTTCCCCCTTTTTTTTTGGCCTAATATATAGGAATCTCCCAATTTTACTACGTTATGGTGATGCCTCTCCTAGCATTGCCATTAGATTCACAACAAAGTGGTACTTTCTAGGATCTCCTCCCTTTAAGGGTCAGACTCTCACCAAAAAGAGTAAGTTCGATCTTAGGGAGTGTCATTTTGTTGTGGTTCCAGTCGCAGTGCTAGGGGGCATCACCACAGCATAGTGAAGTTGGGAGATTTCTACTTATTGGGCTAGAAAAAAAAAGCTTGCTTGTCATGCTCTCATGCCTGTAGGGACAGGCCCCAGTAAGTTAGGTGTCTTGTCCTTAGATCGTGGGTGAGTCCAACTCTTTTCTTAAAAATATTTCACCAAAAAAAAAAAAATGTGGAACGAACCTATAGGTGTAGGCTATCATAAATTCTGTGCTGGACTTGTGACCATTAAATTCAACACGGTGTTTACATCTCCAAACCCTGATTAATTTAGGTGCATTTTAGATACTAATCTGACAATTTTGCCTGTTTACATCCGGAAAAAAACTACGAGGAAGTTAGGTTAGCGAGATCAATAGAATTTTTTTTTCCTTGGCCTTTTTATGCGAAGGTGATATTATGTTATGGATATATTTTTTTATCATAGTATTTCTATTGTTCGGGTCCTAGAACAAATCATTGTGTTAAAAGGGTAAAGGAAAAACAAGTAAACACATGATAAATAATTATCTGTCTCGAAAGATTTTAGTTCAATATGATGCATTGATATTCTCTATTTTGATAAAATAAGTATATATTTTTCTACATAATCATCAAAGGTTATAAATGTAATATTATACCCAAGCTAGAATAACTTTATGATATATTGAGTAAAATAAATTTCAAAAAATTAATCAGGAATGTTAGCGTGTGTAGGGTGAATCTGAGTGTAGTCTTAACATCTAACCAAACCAACCTAGTTTCTTGTGAGACCTTGTAGTTGAATTGACATCATTTTAAGGCCTTTTCAAGTGCGATTTTGAGCTCAAAAGATACGATGAATGCACGAGTTATGGCAGAAAAAATGTCTAAAGAAACGTGTTCATTCGTCGAAGTAGACATGCAGTTCTTAGAGTAGGATTTTTACTTGCCATGCCTCATCCACTTCTGTAACTTTCCCATGGAGACTTGATAAGCATAACCACCTAACTTGATACGAAGCAACATCCTTTCAAGTTTAGTTTAGGAAAAGCCGAAAAGGCGTGGATGCCCAATATTTACCCCGGAAAAAAATATAAAATAAGAGTTTCTCATTCTAAAAGATAAAACTGGTAATATGAGTTGAACCCACAAGTTCAATCCTCCAACCTACCAAAAATGACAGGTTAGGATTAACTAAAAATCAACCAATCAATAAACAATGTTTTTCAATCCGTACTACCTAACCCACAACTTGTCGCGGGTAAGCCACCAACTTGCTTTTTTTTAAAATTTTTTTTTAATCATTGTGTATATTATTATATTATATATTTTATCTAAAAAATTAAAAAATATACCTATATCATTTATTTATTTGATGTTTTTACTCAAGTATTTAAAGAAAAGATAAAAATTTCATTATATTTTTTTATATTGTATAAGAAAAAAATTTTTAAAAAAATAAAAAAAAAAAAAAGTTGACAAGTTGGCGAGCCAACTCATCAATCTATCATAACAGGTTAAGCCAACCCGCCATTACAAGCAGTTTTTTTAGCCCGTACTACCTAACCCTAACCTGTCACGGGCTAATATGTAACCCACAGGTTGACTTATATTACCATCGTCCATCCCTACTAAAGGAAAATATTAAGCCCCACATTAGGGAACACACAAGTACGGTATAGACTTTTCCTCCTAACAGACCAATCCTTTGGGATTCAAACTAATATTCATACTAGAAAACTTTGGAGATTCTCCTACTTCTGGGATTATATAATGATTCTAGAAGATTTCCACAACCTTTCTCCTTCGTTCCCTCCTATCCCATTTCTTATCCTTTTTTTTTTATCAAGTTTCTATCATAGCCAAAGTAAGATGCCCCAATAACATAATCAAGCAAAAGCGTAGGATTTATGGATTTATTAGATTCAATTAGTTAAGTGGTTAGACGACTTTTATTAGTTGCTGCAGGTTGCTGCATAGTTACTTTATCAGAGGATTTGTGAGGACCGCCAAACCAATGAGCCGTTGAGGCTAGCCAGGATGCCTCTTTACTTCCTTCGCAGTCATGAGTCAGTTTCACCGGCCAATCTCTTCCCAGAAGCCCCTTTTTGTGCATATAGCCAATCTTCTCATGGCTCTCCAATCTTTATAATCCTGAAACGATTTGTTTGCGCCCCTACTCAGTTAAGGGAAACACAGCAGGGACAAGTGAACTGATAATGTTCCCATAATGGCACGATTTTGCTACAAATGAAGAACAAAGAAAGGCGTCTGCAAATAACAACTCGACATATATGGAAGTCAAATTGTTCAGGTAAAACAAAGAGAGACCATGTGGACTGGATCAGAACTTCTTGATGAAGTCGTAAATGTGGGTGCTAATGTCCCCTGCTGCTTCTTGATTGTTGAAGTGACCTACTCCTTCCTGAACTACCACTTCCTCCAAATTCGGCACGTCTTTCTTGAAACGACCACTCTGTATGTACTCACGTATTCCTGGCGAAGTGTATACCACGTCTAAGTCACCTGTTATGAACTTAACTGGAACTTTCACTTGCACCCCAGTCCATGCTGCTGTGAGTTCCCAGTTTCTGCAGCACAGTCATGCAACAACCTCTCAAAATATTGCTAACAATGATCAGAAAATGACGTTCCCAAAATTTACTTCCTCGACGAAAGTGTTTCTGTAGGTGTAGTTAAAACATCACTTCAGCACAATTAGAGAGGCAAGGGATGAAAAATAGAGAATAGGAACATACAGATCGAGATTTCTGTAGTAGTTCAACCCTCCAGTGAAACCAGATTTGTCAAACTTAGAGGCATAAAAACGCAGGTCTTCTTCCGAAAGCCAGGAGGGCAAGGCCTGAGTGGTATTTGCATTATGCCCAAACCCTTCTTTTGAAATGATTGGGGGACCAGTATTTCGTGTTGTGAGGACATGCTTCAGTACTTGTTGGCAACCAATTCTGGCCATCTCAGCTTCTGCCTTCCCTGGCTCCTGTCACAATTAAACCACCGCATAGTACATGTCATCTACAATCTACCATTTCAATACCAAGGACTCATGATCTTATCTTTTATCAAATAAATTATCATATGATTGAAACATGAGTGAAAATCTAAGCAATCTATGCAAATTGACGGATTAAGATAACCAAAATAAAAAAGTTAGGTTACTGACAGTAAAGAAGTGTAACCACAGTTCCCAAATCAGAGCCATCAACATTTCCTTTTATCTTTATTATTGTGATGTGATTGAAATCTTTCATTTGGACAGTGATACAATTCCTCTCTTGATATAGGCGTCACATGATAGTCGAGTTTGGAAACTATAGCACTCTTATTTACTTTAGGATAAGACGTTTTTATTTGCTTTTCCTCCGTTGATGTCTTGCTTCCCAAATTAAAAGCCCAGGTCACTCGTTTCGTGTCAGTTTTGCAAAGGAGATATGAACAGGGGACATCTTGAGGAGGTCAGTTAGTTTGATAGTACTTCCCGAAAAGGAAAGGATGGGGGAACAGGTCGAAGAAGTACTATGAACAAGAAAACCAAAACAATGATCTAGTTGGATATACAGATTTTTTGATCCTGTAGCAGGTAACGCGAATCATTTTTAGATCTGATGAAGAATAGATAGAAGTACCTGGAATCTGCAGATATAGTAATCCTCCCCATAGACGGCTCGAAAGCCATCAAGCGGCCTGACTCGGGGGTTTCTGGGCATGAGTGGCACACTGAGGCAGACATAGGCCTTGACTCTATCAGGACGAAACATGCACAGGTACCACCCTATGATGGCTCCCCAGTCGTGAGCCACGAGGAACACTTGATCCACACACAGAGAGTCGATGAGGGCGATGATGTCACCCACGATATGAAGGCAGGTGTAGCTGTTGATGGAAGCCGGGGCTTCGGTGTCGCCGTAGCCGCGGAGATCTGGAGCAACGGCTCGGTAGCCAAGTGAGCTGAGAGCCAGAATCTGGTGGCGCCAGGAGTACCACAGTTCAGGAAAGCCATGGAGGAACAACACCACCGGGCCTTCTCCTTTCTCTGCAACATGCATTTTGATGCCATTCACTTCCACTGTTCTGTGCACAATTCCTTCCATTTTGATGATCTGACTTGTTTCTGCAATGAAATGTGAGGGATTTGAGCTGAACGTGCAAGGGGCAAAAGGCTAGGGAAACCTTATAACAGCTCTCTTTCTCGAGATTGGGGAAAAAAAACCAGATATAATAAGGAAGTAGTGAGGGATGATTATAAATAACATAGATTTATATTATTATACTGCAATATAACTTACAGATAAAAACCTAGTAGTCAATACAACTCTCTTTGGTATCTGTCTCTCACGATTCTTCTCTGTTAACGTAGGCCAAACTTTTGAGATCAATTAAACATCAATAGGTTCTCATCAGGTAGTCATTTAGATCCTTCCGCACACGACCTAGTCCCTATATATACAGTTCATCGTTAGCTATAAAAACACGGGTGGCGACGAAAATTACAAAGAAATTAACAACAAACTGAAATTTCAGATGGAAGGGAGGGAGAAGGGAAGACATTATCAATAAAAGATTGTGACTCTGCAAAAATGCGGAACAACTTCAAATTATGGAAATTGAATTTAACATAAATTCAAATACTAGGTGGAAAAATTTGGACGTTAGCAGCTGCGTATTTCCAACACTATTCCTATTTGTAAGAGAATTATTCAATGACAATTTGATGGAGATATAAACACTTTCAGCGTTCAACAATCTAAGGCCATTCAATTCCTCCTGCTCAACAGCACGAACTCCTGCTACTTGGTGAGATGCAGCTTTGCTTTGAATGCCCGTTGCAGAGGTGCAAAACAAATCTTTCGGAAAAATCGATAAAGACATTAGAGAAAACCAAGAAGTCATATCAGAAACAACGGCACATGAACATGAAGCATTACATACCCTATCATTTTATGGGTTTGGACAGCAGAGGAATCAGATGAAAAATGAGCCATAAAATCAACTAAAATATTATCTGTAAGAGAGGTAGGTGGGAACAAAAGGAGTCGTACCTGAGCAGAAACTGACAGAAGCGTAGGCGAAGGTGAGATCTGCGACCTACAAGCTTGGCTGCTTCAGTGTCCCTACGAGCAAGTGGCGAAAAGAGGGTTCGCATTTAGTGTGAGGCAGGCGCGGGGGAGAGAGCGATTTAACTGAGCCTTAAGGCGATGCTCTGGCGATTCCACGTGCACGGTCGTGCATTCTTGGATCTAACTGAGTCCGCAAGCAAGACAAATCTAGGCCGTTCATTCTAGGACTCCGAAGTCAATTGAAGAACTTGTCTCTTTAGTTACCATTTAAAAAGTAGTGACTTGACAAAAAAATGTCTCTAATTGATTTCTGAATGCTGATTTACAACAACTGATCAGGTGATTTTTTGGTTCTTAAATTTTAAAAAATTAGATATTAATAGAGGTGAGGTGATTAAAAAAAAAGTTAGATTAGATGCTGAAAAAAATTAAGATTTACAAGTTGAAACCATATCAGAAGATAACTTTTTAATCATGATTAATGAAACGAGAAAGTATGTAAGGAAAATTTTATCTATGCAAAAATATTTATAAATACTTAAGAAAAGTAGATGAAAACAAGTCATTAACATACAAATATCAAAAAAATTTGTGATTGTTAGCTTGCACACAAATAAAACATTTTTGTCTATGTATTCTTCTGATTGCACTACAAAAAAAACTCTTATATTTAGGATTATTTATATTATATTCAGGACCGGATAAATACCATATACTATTCTTAATATAAGATTTAAATTAATATGTTTTCTTTAATTTAAATCAAAATTCTTACACCTCGTTTTTAATACTGCATTTTAAACGAGGCCTCGATTCTATGCCAAGGCGTCATGCGCGGGCAAAGTAAAGGCAGAGTCGCACAATCTTGCAACCTCGTTCTTCTTGTTTTTTTTTTGGCCAAAACTTGCAACCTTATTCAGAATGCTATAGATGATGCTTGTTTCTTTTTCCAAACTAGGTCCACGTTCAATGAGAATATCCTAAACAATAATAGAACCAAAGGAACAAAAATACTCTTGTTGTAAGTGTATACCAGGTGCACGTGACTTTTTTTGAAAAAAAGCTATTCAAAATCTTGGGCTTTGATTTTAAACTCCGCAGATTAGGGTCGAGTTTGAGAAAATGCCCACATTTTAATAAGAAGGATTATAGGGCACCCAATTCTATAGAGTCAGGCCCGTAAGGGCCGGGCTAGCCCATTTTAGTTAGCACACTCCCCTGGATGGAGCCCCCATATACCAAATCCAAATTATCAATTTATATTAAATAATATTGACACCAAACCCAAACAAACGGCTTTTTTTTTTTTTAATTTAGTGGACCCAGAGATTTAATCATCATAATGCTTCAAATTAAGTAAAAATGCATTTTTTTACTTTTAAAAAAATTAATAAAGCAACAAATGAAGGTGACATTATTATGCGGTTTGGAAAATTCTCACACGTTACTCAATTCATGATCATAGCAAGGCGAATTGAAGGGGGTGGGTTACCTTGGAAGAGTATGAACAGTTTTAATGAGAATATTTCATCCCTGCCGGCGTGCGATGTCGTGTGGCGAGTATAGCGAATTATTAGCAAGGGGTATATTCTTACAATAAGCATGTTGGCTGATGGTCAGGATATCCGACAAAATTCTGTTTTGTTCTCGTCTGCTAATTATAATCGAGGAGGGTCCAGCTTTCTTCAGATCTCATTCAAAACGGCCTTGTTTTATAGCCTCGGTGCTCTTTCCCGGCGGCACTACTCCTCCCTCAACCTCCCTCGGTGATTTCTCCGTCACAATAAACGGCTTACATGAGTTTTAATTGCGATGATCAATGGTTGTGACGTCGAAGGCTGGGGTATACATGGTTGTGATGAAGCGTTTCAGCTCTCAATTAAAAAAAAAAAAAAAACAGGTTTTTCTAGCGAAGCATTAGTTTGAAGAAACTGGTTTGCCAAAGAGGCTTTTAGGCCAAACACCCCATAATCTTTGGCGGGGAGATATACACTGCATCAGAATGCAAGGCTCCATGGACAGGCAGCGTGTTGTGGGGAAACAAAGCAAAACCACGAGTAGAAAGAAAGATGTTCAAAGAGCAACAGCTTATTACAATAAACATGATGCAAATGCAAAATACAGGCGATCAAATAAATTATTATCGGATGAGGCACGGAGAGACGGCGGGCGGATTAGCAGACGAAATGCATCAGAACTTGGAGAGGAAGTCGTAAATGAGATTGCTGGTGTCTTCTGCCGCTTCTTGATTGTTAAAGTGAGCCACTCCCTCCTGCACAAATACCTTCTCCAAACTGGGCACGTCTTTCTTGAATCCACCACCATGAATATACTCTTTCATCCCAGCCGAAGTGTACACCAGGTCTAAATCGCCCGTTATGAATCTTACCGGAACTTTATCGCTGATTCCTACTCCATTCCACGGCGAGGTCAGCTCCCAGTCTCTGCAATTTCACCCGAACAATGCAAACCATTAATAATTTTGACACACTCCTGAAGCTATGCACTAATGTTAAAAGCAACATACAAGTTGAGATTTCTGTAGTAGTTTAAGCCACCAGTAAAACCCGTTTTGTTGAATTTGGCAACATAATAAGCAAGATCTTCTTGAGTGAGCCAGGAGGGCAAGTCCTCCGGAGTGTTGGGATTGAAGCCAGTCCCATACTCTCCTTTCGGCAAGATCGGGGGACCCGTTTGCCGGGTGGTGAGGATATTTTTCATCACATATGAAGTCCCAGCTCGAGCCAGCTCTTCTTCCATCTTCCTCGGTTCCTGTCAACATCACAGAATCACAATCTGCATCACAATAAAAAAAACGAAGAAGCAACAGCCAACTGTTGACCATGCGACGGGAACCTGAAATCTACAGATGTAGTAATCATCCCCGAATAAGGCATGAAAGGCATCTACGGTTCTGATTTTGGGGTTTCTGCCCAGAAAAGGTCGGAAGGGGACGCTGAGGCACACATAGGCTTTGACTCTTTCAGGGCGGAAGAGGCAGAGATACCAACCGACGATGGCTCCCCAATCATGAGCAACGAGGCAGACTTGATCCACACCCAGAGAGTCGATGAGGGCGACGATGTCACCGACAAGGTGGAAGCATGTGTAGCTGGTGATGGACGATGGGGCATCGGTGTCGCCGTAGCCACGGAGATCGGGAGCCACCGCACGGAAGCCTCGGGAGCTGAGAGACAGGATCTGGTGGCGCCAGGAGTACCAGAGCTCAGGGAAGCCGTGGAGGAAGAGCACCACCGGGCCTTCTCCTTTCTCAGCCACGTGCATATTGATGCCGTTCACCTCCACCGTTCTATGCACCATACCTTCCATCTTGATCTTGATGAGCTGATTTGGTTCTGCAGTCAGAAGTGGGGGATATGCAGGCACCGATTAGAGGTTTATGCTTTATACTACCGCAACATCTCCGCTCTTCGTCGCAAACGTGACTGGGAAAATGTTTCTAATTTGGGCATTTGGCCGCTCCAATTTTGCGCTCATTTAAAATATAAATAATGCAAGGCGATGATGACATGAACTGTGAAGGTGTTTCTGGCGGCTAGCGTGGCGATTCAACATGGCCGCACGAGCAAAGTTGCAATGACTTGAAAGGCAACCAAAAAAAAAAAATTTCGGGACAAAACTGAGTTCTCCCACCTCCCCCAATTTTTAACTAATTAAATTAAATTTCAATTCTGTAAATCCATTTGTATTTTAAAAACTATTAAATCTGAACTATCAAATTCAATTCAATAATCTATGGATTATGATTCCTCTGTTTAGCGGAAATAAGCAATTTTTGGATAAAACGGACAGTAAAGCTCGTCGGTTTTGACGTTTTTTATTTTTATTTTTTAAAAAAACCGTTCATTGGCATCCGCATGCAATGCCCAGTTACCTATTAACGGTCCAAAACAATACTCTATTGCTTCCAAAATAATCATATTTTCTGAAGTGAACTTATTCATTATACATTCATGTAAACATTTTTCAAACAATAATAATTTTTTATAAATTTTTTTAATTCTTGAAGGGTGAAATTTTTTGAACAATAATAATTTTCTAAAAACGTAAAGTGATAACCCCTTTGTACAGTGTATCCCATTAAAAAAATTATCTTAATGTTGACAATTTGACATGTATGTGTGATAAATATAGAATCTTTTATTTCACGAGCGCAGCAGCAGCACAACGTGGAAATTTGGTAGATGTTGCTGAGAAGTGAGAACACACAAATCTTGAGGCCGCCACCAATAATTAATTTTCATTAAATTATTATATGGACAAAATGTTAATGATGGCAAAAAAAAAAGTGTTGATTGTCTTTTTGGACAATAATGCCCGACATGATAAGTTGATCGCCAACAAGGGAAAACAATTATCGACGCATATGAAGGGGTCCGTGATTATCCTTGCAGATCGGGCAATTTTAAAATTTTATTCGCACCTAACAATAATATGAATAAAAATTTTGCTACGCCAGCTTTCGGCTTTCATCAATGCTTTACAGCCTTTTTTATGCCACTGAAATCATTCGTCTTATTTCAAGCACACAAATCACGTCTTCTTTTTATCTTATTCATGACTAAAACTTATATGCCTGATATATGTTTAATAAAATAATAATGTTTTAGAAAATAACTTGCTCGTAAAGACGGGCTATACTGACAGAATAACTGTATATTACTCCTCCGGTCCTAATTATAAGACCCAATTGACTTATTTGAGGAGATTAAGGAAGTAAGTTAAGTTGGTTATTTATAATAAATAAGTGTTGTTATTCCTAAAATATCCTTGCTAATTAAGTATATTGGCTAAAACTATCATTATTAGAAGGATTATCTTGGAAAAAAATGCATAAATATAAGAGAGAAAATAGATTGGGTCTTATAATTAGGACCAAATAAAAAGTCAAATTGAGTCTTATAATAAGGACCGGAGGAGTACTATATTTGGCATCCCCCCTCCAAAAAACAAACAATTGTCTTCTGATCATGTTTCGGTAACTAAATGGACAGATACTCTGCCGAGTTTAGGCCTGTTTCAATGTAGGCCCATTCAGTGGCAGCAATATTTGAACGATGACTAACTAATGAAATGTATTATAGCAACAATTCGGGGTCCTAATCAAGGGTAAGCCTATTGCACTGACGTCCTGGCTTCGGGCTTTCCTACCTCTTCGTCCCACTAAAACGGTCCTCATAGTCTGTATTATTTCAATTTTCAAGCACATAAATCGAGCCTTTCTTTATTTTATTAATGACTGAAACTCAATTTTCACACGCAACAAATTAATTATTATATATCAATTTAATATTGCTCTCTCAGTTAAGTTTACTTTTTTGGCCAAAAAAAAAAAGTTCACTTCATTTTAACACAACGGACTATACCGGCAAGCCTGAACGGGATAATTATGAGTATAAAGACGAAATCAAAGAGCAACACGCAATTCATAGTACCACACATAGTAATGGATGTTGCAAATGCAAGCACAGGAGCAGGGCGAGATCAGACGCATCTATCCGAACTTGGAGAAGAATTCGTAAATGCGAAAGTTGGTGTCGTCTGCTGCTTCCTGATTGTTATAGTGAGCCACTCCCTTTTGCACGAATATATCCTCCAAACCAGGCACATCTCTCTCGAATGAACCACCATGAACGTAGTCTTTTGATCCCAGGCGTGGTGTAAACCATGTCTAACTCGCCCGTTATGAACCTCACTCGAACATCTTTGCTGATTTTTGCTCCGGTCCACGGTGCCGTCAGCTCCCAGTTCCTGCAAATTCACCCCATCGACAACTCCGTTAAACAAACCGTAATGAAGCCATCACTAATTTTGACTAGATCGATCGCCAAACAAAACATTACGGGTTGAGAGCTCTGTAGTAGTTCAAGCCACCGGTGAAGCCGGTCTGTTCGAATTTGGCAATATACACGTTGAGACCATGTTGAGTGAGCCAGGAGGGCAGGTCCTTTGGCATATGGGGATTGAAACCGGTGCCATACTCTCCTTTCGGAAAGATTATAGGACCCGGCTCTCGAGTGGTAAGGATATTCTTCAGCACATATGGAGTTCCGACTTGAGCCATTTCTTTCTCCATCTCCCCCGGTTCCTGTCAACACCACAGAATCACAGTAGTCTGCATTAAAACGAAAGGCGGCAACGATTTGTTAATACGCAGAAGCAAATTCAGACCTGGAATCTACAGATGTAGTAGTCTTCGCCGAATAAGTCGCGAAATTTATCTACGGTTCGGACTGTGGGGTCTCTCTTATTAGCGAGTCCGAAGGGGACACTGAGGCATACAAAAGCTTTAACTATTTCAGGCCAAAAGAGGCAGAGGTACCAGCCAAGGACGGCTCCCCAGTCGTGACCGACGAGGAAGACTTTGTCGACGCCCAGACAGTGGATGAGGGCGACGATGTCACCGACGAGTTGGAAGCATGTGTAGCTGTTGATGCCCAATGGGACATCGGTGTCGCCGTAGCCGCGGAGATCCGGAGCCACCGCACGGTAGCCGCGGTTGCTGAGATACGGGATCTGGTGCCGCCATGTGTACCACAGCTCAGGGAAACCGTGCAGAAGAAGCACGACGGGGCCTTGTCCTTTCTCAACCATGTGCATCTTTATGCCGTTCACTTCCACAGTTCTTTCCACAAATGCTTCCATCCTGATGATTTGATTTACTTGCGTGGTAACAGGCGACCGATATATGGAAGCACGACCCCCCCCCCCTTTCTTTTCTTTTTTCCTTTTTTTTTAAAAAATTTGGGACAATAACGCATCACGTGATGAGTTGATCACCGCCAAAAACGAAAAAATGACCCAAGTGATCTTATTTTGTTGAACATATTTTTGGATGGGTTTAGTTAGGTTCTTGGGTTTTCTTTTAATATTCTGTTGAATTTTAAGTTGGGCCTGTCCCTATAAATATTGGTATTATGGACTGTTGTAAGTGTGAAGAAGTATTAATAGTATAAAGTATTATTTATATTTTATTGGGTCTGCGCGCTTATCATATCTGATCCAGCTTTCATTAATTGCAATATATAAGCAATTAATATTTTATTTTTTTTGACTTGTTATGAGATTTTACTCCAAGATGATGGGTGATTTTTATTAGATGGAAGCATCATGTCGTTGGTTGGGGGTAGAGCAACGTGTTTGATAACTCATACGAGCACTTGGAAATATACTTTTATATAAGTTGAGAAATCTCATAGGTTATAAAATCACTTCTAAAGAAACCAATTCAACTCACATGGTTTTTTGTACAAGCCAAGGTAATCTTAGCTTCTTATTGTGAATAATGAAGGGAACATGCCTATCTTCGTTTGCATAAAAGCATTTCTTACCAGTTTCCTAATAAGTTTTATTTCATTTTAGGCGCATCCAGGGGTGCAGTGTTTGAACGACAACTAAATAATGAATAATAATCAGAGAGTGCAGATACGAGCAGCAACTCATAAAGCGTCGTTTAACAGAATTACATGCGTGAAGGGCTGGTTTGATTTGTGGAATATTTTCATGTGAATATTTCATTTACAAAATTGAAAAAAAAAACAGTTTTTCGGTGAGCAAAAACAGTTTACTTCGGTACCTAGCATAACTAATTTAAAATGTTGATAAAAACTGCAAGTTGGGTAATGAAAATAACATTAGAAAACTGGTGAAAGTGAAAAATTCCATCACCATGGGCATTATTGGGATTCACATATTGCGGAGGTTTTTACTCTTTCCAAATGAATACAATTAAAATCACATGTTTATAACAAGTATTGCGCATATACATGTCTCCTACAGTTCAATATAATGGCGTTGGCTTTCAAATTTATGCAGGTGAAGAGGAGTTAGATAAGCAAAGTAGCAAGTCGGGAAACACAAAGCACGGCTATATATGAGTGGAGACGTGAAATCTAAGAGCAATAATATTCCTCCGGTCCTTAATATAGGACTCAATTGTTGAGTTGGGTTTGGTCCTAAATATAAAACCCATTTCTCATGTTTATCAATTTTCTCTAAACTACCCCTATGGATACTCCCTCAACCATAATCAAATAGAAGAGGAAGATGAGGTATTAAAAAAGATGATTATGGTGTTTTAGGAAAAATGTGTCATTTTTCTTATAATTAACCAACTTACCTAACTTTCTTAATCTAATCAAATTAGTTAAATGGGTTTTATATTAAGGACCGAAGGAGTATATTATAATACTCTTCATTAGCTTAAACAAGTATGCTGGTGGAAACGAAATCACAATTATGAGTAGAATGACGAAATCTAAGAGCAACACACAATTTATTAGCATTAAAAAATCATGGATGTTGCAAATGCAAACGCAGGCGGGCAATCAAAATTATTGAATCAAGCATGGAGAGGCAGGTGGTGGAGGAGGAACGGAAGATCAGATTCATTAGAACTGGGAAATGAATTCGTAAATGCGAAAGTTGGTGTCGTCGGCTGCTTCCTGATTGTTAAAGTGAGCCACATCTCTCTGCTTAATTATCTCCAAATTGGGCACATCTTTATGGAAATCACCATGATCAATATAGTCTTTCACCTCAGGGATAGTGTAAACCAGGTCTTCGTCGCCCGTTATGAACCTGACTGGAACATCTTTGCTGATCCCCGCTCCAGTCCACGGTGCCGTCAGCTCCCAGTTTCTGCAAAGTCACCCCCCCCCCCAAAATTAGAACGAACCGCATCGGTGAAACAAACCTTGAAGCCATGCATATGGATATAATTTTGACTAACGAAACAAAACATTGTGAAAAGCCAGAAAGGAACATACAAGTCGAGAGCCCTGTAGTACTCCTCTTGTCCTTGATATAAGACTCATTTAACTAATTTGATGAGATTAAAAAAGTTAGGTAAGTTAGTTAATTATAAAAAATGTGACACGTTTTTCCTAAAATACCATAATCATCTTTCTTAATACCTCATCTTCTTCTTCTACTTAATTATGGTTGAGAGAGTATCCATAGAGGTAATTTAAAGAAAATTGATAAATATAAAAAATAATTCTTATATTTAAAATTAAAATTAACTCAACAATTGGGTTTTATATTAAAAACTGAAAGAGTAGTTCAAGACGCCGGTGAAACCGGTGTTTTTCAGTGTGTCCACATGTTCCTGGAGGTCCTCTTTAAGGAGCCAGGAAGGCAAGGCACGCCCTTTGGCATATGGGGATTGAAGCCAGTCCCGTACTCTCCTTCTGGCAAGATTATGGGGCCCGGTTCTAGAGTGGTGAGGATATTCTTCGCCACATAGTCAGTCACCGCTGAAGCCATTTGGCACTCCACCTCCCCCGGTTTCTGTCACAATCTCCATTAATTAAAACAAAACCAAAAAACACACAATAAAGCCGAAAAAGTTCGCAGGAAATTAAAACCTGGAATCTACAAACGTAGTATTTGTGGCCGTATAACCGAAGAAAGTTTTCTACGGTTTTGACTTTGGGATCGCTCTTACAAACAACTCCAAAGGGGACACTGAGGCACACAAAAGCTTTGACCCTTTCAGGGCGAAAGAGGCAGAGGTACCAACCAATGATCGCTCCCCAGTCATGACCGACGTGGAAGACTTTATCGACGCCGAGAGAGTCGATGAGGGCGACGATGTCCCCGACGAGGTGGAAGCATGTGTAGCTGTTGATTTCCGAGGGGATTTCGGTCTTGCCGCAGCCGCGGAGATCTGGAGTCACCGCACGGTAGCCGTTGTCGCTGAGAAACTTGATCTGGTTGCGCCATGAGTACCAGAACTCAGGGAAGCCGCGTGCAGAAGCAAAACCACTGGGCCGCGACCTTTGTCAACCACGTGCATCTTGATGCCGTTCACTTCGATGAATCTCTGCGGAAATGCTTCTTCCATCTTGAGACGGCGATCTGATTTGCTTCGTGTAGTCACGAGTGAGCTATATATGGACGCAAACCCAGTAGGCCTCTATATACAGCTGCGTCCACCCTTCATTTCACTGCAAACTTTCACCGGGAAAATGTTTTAAAAGTGCAGTGTCAGCCTTTCACTTATTTGAATAATGTAATGTGGGGGGGGGGGGTATGGCGGGGTTTTCTGCTTTTTCATGCGAGCTTCGCGATTGAACAACGTAAGCAACCTGACGTACAGGAACTTTGCATGATCAACGGAGAACTTTTTAAGTTTATGGGTGACACGGCACCATGTGGAAACTCGGGAATCGTGGCGCTGCCGCCAATAATTCGCATGAAATTATTCTATAAACAAATGATTTTTTTTTTTTGGACATGCACATGATGAGTTGACCTCCAAGGCTTTTGATCTTCATTAATGATATATTTTATCCTTATTCAAGTCCTAATTTTCAACTTTCTTTTCGTTTCGCAAAAATTTACTTTAAATTTTTTTTAATTTTACAGCAAAAATTTGCTTTTATGTCATAATTTTATAAAGTATTTTTTTTTCTGGTTTCCTAACCCTGACATCATTAGTTTTATTAACTAAAAAACTTTAACATTAAAATTTTAAATGCTAACAAAAAATTGACAAATACTAATATATTGTGAGTTTATTGATATAATAATGATTGACACAAAAAATCATTATTTGAAACTAACAATATTATTATTAGAGGACTAGAAGATATCCTATAAAATTAAGAAATAAAAAAATCTTGTATAAAGTTAATTAGAGCCCCATAAGTTTATATAGTTTTTCCTTTTAGTTTTCTCCTAAATATAAGTAGTATTCCAAATTTTAAGTATAATGAATACTTGTTTTCAAAAAGTACCCCTAATAGAAAAATTAAATTTCTTATCTACATACCCTTAAAATTTTATAATAAATATATGCATTTGTATGTAAAATACAAAATTTTGGCAGCTTGACTCGGCTATTTTTTTATATTATATTGAAAGTCATACTCCTCCGGTCCTTATTATAAGACCCAATTTGACTTTTTATTTGGTCCTAATTATAAGACCCAATCCATTTTGTTTCTTATATTTATGCATTTTTCTCCAAGATAATCCTTCTAATAATGATAGTTTTAGCCAATATATTTAATTAGCAAGGATATTTTAGGAATGACAACACTTATTTATTATAAATAACCAACTTAACTTACTTCCTTAATCTCCTCAAATAAGTCAATTGGGTCTTATAATTAGGACCGGAGGAGTATATAAGAATGAAGCCATGAAGGAAATACCTACAGACATATATGTGTGTGCGCGCGCGTGGAATGCGTGTGTGTGAATAGAATGAAGAAATATTTTGTCTAAACTTATTATTGGATTATCTCAACCAAGCAAGTTGTAGTTTGCCAAAGTGATTTCTTTTTTAAAAATATTTGAACATAAATTGTATTATAATAACTGAATTTTATAATTCTATCTCAATTTTTAAATTATAGTTTCTCAAATGTTCTGTTTTGTAAGGGTAAAATGTCCCCTGAAAAAAACCTGAAAATTATAGAATCCCAATTCAGGTGCCTAATTAACACTTCAAAATTTTAGGAGAGGAAGTGGAGCCTGATCTAGTATTTAGCAAATATAGTTAAATGAATAAAATGCTCTTATTTCAAAAAATTTATTAACAAGTTATGAACTAACAATAACAAATGTTGAATAGCAAATAATAAGAAATTTGCTGACAACAACAAGTTTGAAACAATGACATTTTAGTCATTTAATTACATTTGAAAAATACCAAATCAGACACTGGTTCTTTCTCTAGGATTTTGAAGTATTAGGTACTTGAATTTATACTTCACAATATCTAGGTT